GATAAATTAATATATTACATTAATTATACTCCAGTACAAGCAAGACTTCCTGTAGTGGAGTTTTCTTCTTGTTGCCAGGAATGTCCATGCCATGATATTTCTGTCGGGCCTAAACTCGAAGGTGATGGACACATCAGTCTGGCAGAGAAAGTGTCAAGGCAGGCTGGCATTCGACTGAGGTAGAATAGCTACCTCACAATAGCTAAGTGCTTCATGCTCGATTTATACTGAAGATTGGGAGTAAGGCAGAGCCAGGAGACTTGAAGAGTGAGTTTGTCCAAAACAGGAATGGTTTAAGGTATACCCAAGTAGACTGTTTGCTAGAGATTAACGCTTTAAGCAAAAAACTGTACAAGAGAAATTGTTCTTCTTACAACTATTCTTTTCAAACTGCCTAACTCTGTAACTGCTTCAGGGCTTTGTAATTACTTTATTGACCCCTGTAACCATGAAAACAAAATCAAACATGCAGATGCCTGATTGTACCATGCTGCAATCTTGAAATGATGATCATTAATCTACCCAAGGATCTCACCTTGCTAGCTAATCAGAAAGATGGCCAAGCTGTTTATAGTCTCTCCTTGGTGGCTCCTTTGTACCTCCTGGTTGTGAATCATATAAAAGCCTTAGACCATCAGAGATTAGGGCCTGATATTCTGAGACTAATACCGATCGGTGCCCATTGACACAAATAAACCCTGGGTGTCTTTTTGGTGTTTCTGCCTGCCGTGTGTCTGGCCATGCTGGCCTCTGGTTTGTCCAAAGCAGGAATGGTTTACACCAACCCAGTCATGGCCCTCGGGGATAGAAGAAAGACCTCTCTGGGTTTCAATGGGTATCCGAGATGAACACACGCTTCTCAGAGGATGAAATTAAAGAAGCGAATAAATATATGAAAAAATGCTCCACATCACTAACCATCCATGAAATGCAAATTAAAAAAACACTGAGATATCATCTCACCCCAGAAAGAATGTCTATCATAAAGAAATCACCCAACAACAAATGTTGGAGAGGTTGTAGAGAAAAAGGAACCCTTCTCCACTGCTGGTGAGAATGTACACTGGTGCAACTGTTATGGAAATCAGTGTGGAGACTCCTTAGAAAAGTTGGTTTGGAAATCCCATTTAAACCAGCTATTCCTCTACTGGGAATTTTCCTGGAGGATCTGAAAACATCATATCACAGGGATATATGTGTGCCTATGT